GAAACACAGTCTTTTGAAGGGACCACGCACTGCTTTTCCCAGCCGACGAGTTCTAACATCCTGCCTTCCGCGTCCAGACGTATATTGCACAATTTCGTAACGCCCACTCCCTCGGCCCCGACCCTCCGTCAAATCCTAACCGTTGCGCTCCCATGGGAGCGTCCCCCTCCGACTCTACCGCTCCCTCCCTCAGCCGGAGATTGATGCCAATCGCGGGGCCAGACGGCTTGCGTTTCCAGACCAAACTCTCCACGTGCGACCCCATCCACACACCCCACCCGCCCTCCGTTGGCAGAAAGGTAGCCCAAACCGCAAAAAATATACTGTCATTACCAGCCACCAGGTACGGCATATTGTGTTATGATCGCTATTGCCTAGGAATGACTCCAACTGGGATTGCTACCTAAAAACTGACTCCACGCGGGCCACAGATCTAATCCCTGGCTGGATCCCGGCATTTCAGTTCTCGGATCTACCCCAGAGAGACTCTCGGAATTCTTCCCGACAGCCGCTCTACGTGGGAGGCTGGAGTCACCTATGATTGCTGCGCTACCTTTGCAGCGAGCGCATCGACGGATCCTCGCCCGTTTGTGCCCCCGAAGCAAGCGCCAACCCCTTTACACACCCCCCCCATTCCTCCTTGCCCATTCGGAAAGTTGCCCACTCCCCACCACCCCCCTCAAAAAAGCGCCCACCGCCCCCACCCCACCCATGAACAGTATTGCCCACCCCCTCCCCGTGCTGGAACGAAAGTCCGTCTCTGCTGCCAGTCAGGGTGGGGCGGAATTCAAATCGGTTTCGCTAATCGGATCGCGAACGCGATCTCGTCCGCGCGGCCTCATGAACGGGACATCCGTTCTGGCTACCGAACCCCCGATTTATCGACCTTCAGAATATGGCCGAGCGTACACATGCACACGTGGGTCCCCTCCCCCCGAAAAGGGCCACAAACAGTGCGGGGAGGGTGGGGGGAAACGCTCTTCGTGTCTTGAACAGCAAGGGGTGACACTAATCCGCCCCACCCCCCCCCACCTCCAGGCCACACGCATGCACACCGCTGCATTTTGACCAAGGCGTATCTCCGACCCGCTCGCCGTGCCCTTCAATTCGCTCCCCTTCTCGTTCCCAAGGTGACAGGACATCCAATTGCTTGTCCAAATCCTCCAACGGTGGGGGTTGAGGTGGGGGTAGTGGGGGAAGGTGTGGGTAGGGGGAGCGGGGGGAGGGGGCCGCATCCGTGCCTGTCATCGGAGGGACCGGTCTGGATGAGGGAGGGTACGGTGATTGTATTCCAGGGTTGGCGTGGATGTCAGGAGGTGGGTAAGGGATTGAGAACGGGGCTGGGGGGACGCACAAGGGAATCGGGGAGAGGGTGGAGGTTGAGCCTGACATCGTAGGGAGGTAGCGCTGGGAGAGAGGGGGAGGCGAGGGGAGAAAGAGAGAGAGAGAGGGAGGGTTGTGAGTGAGAAGGGGCGGAGGTGGGAGGTTGGAGAGACGGCAAGGCGAGATGAAGGGAGGGGAGGCGAGCGGGTCGGTGGGGGAGGGACGGAGGGGAAGGGATGGAGATTGGAGGGAGAGAGAGGGTGAGGGGGAGGCGAGTGGGAGGGAGTGGAGGGAAGTGGGAAGGGTATGAGGAGGGGGGAGGGGGAGACGTGTGGGAGGGAGGGAGTGGAGGAGAGTGGGAGTGATATTAGGAGAAGGGAGGGAGAATGGAGGGAGAGGGTGAGGGGGAGGAGAGTAGGAGGGAGGGACGGGGGATGGAGGGGAGGGGGCCATCCCATTTGGCTGTTGGTTGAGAGGCAGGCCAATGGGCTGGCATCAAGGGTCTCTGGGGTTTCCCTGCCCCTGCCCCTGGCCCTGCTCGCCTCCCCCCATCACCAGGCCTCAAACCCGGCCCGGCTTTCCAGCTGTGGAGGCGGCTTTCTGGAGCTCAGGAGGGTACCTGTCGCTCTCCTTGGGCCAGGAGAGGCACAGCAAGATCCCGCCCAGCAGCAGGGCAGCGCCGGCGGCCAAGGCCAGGTGGACGGCAGGGCCCGGCACCCTCTTGGCGTCGAGGGCCACCAGGGGGTCGTCGCGGCCCTGGCGGGCCGAGTGGACGGCCCAGCCCGCTGCCAGGAGCTCCAGGACCCCTGCGGAGAGGGCCAGGAGACCCCCGCACACCCCGAGGTCCCCCCTGTGCACGGGGTCCTGCAGCCGGGGGCAGCCCAGGACCGAGGCCGCCCCGGCGCAAGCCGCCACGAGGCCCAAGGCCCCGGCGATGAGGGTGAGGGCCCGGGCGGCCTGGACGTCAAGGGGCAGGCTCCACGGCGATGGGTAGGCCTGGCAGTGACTCCCCTCACCCGGGTCACCCCGGGAGCAGCAGACCCATAGCCCCTCCCATACCCGGCGGGCACCAGAGCCCAGGGTGGTGTTGACCGGCTCCTCGGGCAGCGAGAGACGCCAGAGCGGGAGGGCACAAGACACGATGGTCCCCACCAGGCCCAGGAAGACCAGGCCGAACCCTAGGCCTCGGGTTACTGGGCGTTCCATTGCTGATCCTGGAGGGGGTGGGGGTCGGGGGGGAGGAAGGAGAGGATAATTACTGGTTAGTAACTCCCTACCCTCTCCCCACCTCCGCCCCACCCAACGAGCAACATCCTGGGGGTCCCCCATTGAGCAGAAACTGACCCGGGACCCCAGGCCCATATCAATCCTGTGGCTACAGGGAGCGGGTCAGAGACTGGGAAGCCTGCAGCGAGTAACTCCCGTCCTGACTCCCCTCCCCCCCCCCCCCCGCAGCCCGATCGAGACACCGAACCCCCCCGCCCCCCCACCGACAAACACTCCCTCGCTTGTCAGACACGGCCGCAGCAATGTGTACCGTCTACAAGACCCACCACAGTGACTCACCCACCGATAGCACCTTCCCCCAAAACCCCGCCACCTCTTACCCAACGTCCCCCTCCCCTTAGAGGGGCAACAGACGCAGAGTCGGGGGGCACCAGCCCCTGTGAGTTCCCCTCCGAGACCCTCCCCCCCTCAACTCAGAACGAAATGGGCCGTTCCCTTCCGGGTCAAAACCTTGGAATTCCCTACACCTAAGGTGGGGGGGAGCACGGTGTCCCGAACCCCCATGGGGGTGCAGACCGCTACTCCAGGCGGGGGGGGAGGGGGAGGTGGGGGAGGAGGGGTCGGGAGGTGCAATTAGGGGGAATCGGGGCGAGAAACGCTGTGCTGTAGACCGCGATTCGCCCCCACCCCTGCATTGGGATGGCAACGGGTGCATCCATCTCCGAAGCTCAGATTACCTGGGTGTCGAATAACCTCCTCCCTCTCCTGGGTCTTCCTTCTGTCTCGCTCCCTCTCGGCTCAGAGCTGGCTGCCCTCACTCAGTCTGGAGCCGGGAATGCTACAGGGAAGCGAAACCTTTCGTGTGCCACCGACTCTCACATTCCGGGTGAGTCATTCCCCCAAAAAAAAAATAACATTCCATCTCCGCCCAGCACGTCGCAACGGGGTGCACAGTCATGCCCCGAGGTCACCGGAGAATCCCTACGCAGTGTGGAAACAGGCCATTCGGCCCAACTGGTCCGCGCCGCCCCTCTGGAGAGCATCCCATCCATTCCCCTTACCCCTGCATTTCCCCAAGGGCAATCCCACCCTAACCCGCACATCCCTGGGCACTACGGGACAATTTC